ACATTTAAATTAATTTATATTTTAAAATAAGAAGATAGGCTTAATTTTAAAATTAACACTGTTCAATAAATTCATATTTATTCAGACCAGAACTATCTGGGTAGTTTTTTCTTCCTAAAGTTTGATTGTCATAATCGCTATCCACTAACAAAATTGCATTAAAATATAAATGCCAAACTCAACAAATCAAAATTAAGGTGTATCTGGATACTTTTGTGTATATATATTTCCTTAAAGTCAACACCTTCCAAAGTCACTGTGAAATAAATGCCAAGCAATCAAGTTTGATTATATATGAGGTCTCTGCATTATATTTCCTACAGATCACTCACTGTAAAATCTCTGGATTTGCACAGGATCCCCCAATCTACACTCCACATCTAGATAAATCATGCTTTATATAAAGGCAGGTTGATATTTTCTGGGTCCCTGCCTGCCAATATTTTTCCAAATGTAGAAAGAATATCCAGGTGGGCTTCCCCACAGCTGAATATTAGATAGATGTCTTCAAGGAATAGTCTGGAATGGTTCCCAGGTCATTTTCCTGAGCCGTAACAGACAGCTAAAAAGCCTGTTACACTAAGTATAATTTAGATTAGATTTTTCTCTTCCCTTAAGTGCATTACCTTATACCCTGTCTAATCGCTTGCCACTTTTTCTGCCCACTCACATAGCTGTGAAAGATATCTTTGCAATTAATTTCTACTGGCTTAGTATTTTACTGACTAGAGTAACTTAGATTTCACTGTGCCCTCCCTCTTCCAAATCATTTACAAAAATATTATATGGTCACGGTTGGGTCAAGAGTTTAAGTTTATTCTTCTCCATTCAGACATGTGGCCATTAGGGCTTACTTTTCAAAATATGGGAAGAGGGAAATCGTGCCAGTAGGGTGGGGATACTCATGAGGTTGACTGCCACCACTACAAAACAATTAGAAGCTAGGTAGTTCTGGTCTTCATGACCTCTTCAAAACACCTGTCTCTCCCCAACCTTGTGAAGGAATGAATGAATGAATGAATGAATGAATGAATAGCATTTAATGAGCCCTGACTATATGCAAAGTATTTTCCATGAAGGAAAACTTAAGTGAATAAATAATACCTACTGTCCACACCAAGAGAGGCAGGTGGAGAAACAAACTCTAGAAGTCCTCCATCAGTACCCATCTCTTGGGACAGACACTGCAAATGGATCATGACCCAGGCCCACAACTGAATGGGAAGAGTAGATTTAGTGATAATGCATTTGGAAAATTGTGCAGCATATTTAATGACCCTAAGCTGCTCCCTGAAACAGGGCTCTCCTTTTCACACCAATGTTCTCCTGGTGTAATATACTACGGCTTCAAGTCACAGAATGACAGTTTCTAAAGAAATAAATTTGCAAGTTACTTAAAGGGAAATGGAGACTCAGGACAAACAAAAGCTGTCTACTACACATTACCAAAGAACTGTTTGAGTTGTAGAACCAGTAGAGAATGAATGACCAGTAAAGAAAGAGGATCTAGTCACGTGGTCAAAGGCATAACTAACTATTGGAGCTTGAAGGCTTGGGATCTAAACACTGGCAAGAGATTTGGAGAAAGGTCCCAAGCACTTCTAGCACACTGGGTAAACACACTGAAGGATTTACAGAAGGAACCGGAAAACGGGTTGCACATGTCAAGAGGGCATGATGAATGGGTGGGTTTACGCATTACTGGAAGCAGTAACTACAACAGAGGAGATCTTGGATCGGCTGAAATACTTTGATATGCCTGTATTATACGCACTACTTATTTGCATATTTTCTCCTCAAATACTATATTTCTCCTTCCTATCTTCTTTTTTGAGTGAAAAATACAAGATTTTCTTTTTCCTCCACAAAATTCTCCCACACTCATTATCAGCACCAAAAAGTCCAGTTTCTGTGAAATTTGGCAAAAGCAATTAAAGATGTGTAAATTGTATTTAATTAAACCCTGCCTGTAATAACAGAGGGTACTTAACCGCTCACTACACTTCTTTCAATTCTTATCAAGACTCCAAAGACTATATTATTAAGGGAATTCTGGAAACAAACCAAATTCCATAAGACCACATCACTAGGTTACTTCAGAATATTCCCACTTACTAAAAATTCAAAACCATCAGAAAGCTTAAAAATTTTTTTTCTTCCAATAATTTGCACTTCTGTAAGAAAATTAGGCAAACAGAAGAGATGACACCAGGGATTTATTTTTTAAAGTGCAGACGAATTATCAGAAAAGCCCAATATGGAAAATTACAGTCATAGTATTTACATTAAGTGGTTTTAAAATCATTAAACAAAAGTTTACTTTTATTACTGTACTTTATTGTACTTTAAATTTAGGAAAGACATGTGGACTAGGGGTTAGGAGAGACTTGAATCTGGTTCTGACACCTACTAGCTACACGACCATAGGCAAATTAACTTTTTGGAGCCTCAGTATCCCCATCTGCAAAACAAATGCAGTCCTTAGAGTAGTTGAGAGAATATTAAGGTCACATGAAGAATACACAAATTAAACGCCTTATAAAATTCCATCATAAAATTATCTGAAAACAGGTAGAGGCAGCATGGGAAGAAAGCTGGCCAGGAAGCCAAGAAGCCCTAGGTTCAAGTCTCACCTCTGACCCATGCTGGCTTATGTGTGACCTCAGAGTTAATCAATGCTCTAGGAACTTTTTAATCCTAGAAGCTGCAGACAGGGTGCCCACTTGTAATACAAGCATTCATATAAGCATAAAAAACACAAAAAGTAAAATCTCAAGCATTCAACCTGAAATTCACTAAAGGAGAAAGAGATCAATGGGGTCTATAAACTCTATTCTAAGGAATTTAGATTGAAACTGTTATTATTTTACATTGGTTTAGACCTGATCTACATATCACTCATAAAAAAGTCTCTTAGGTGAACTAAAAAGGTAAAACTTTGTTATTCAAGACCTACCTGGTCTTTGACCGACAAAAAAAATAATAATAATAGAACCTCCTTTTCTCCCTCCACTAGCTATGTGGCCAGCATACAGCAGACACTTTGAAGTGTCTGAAGAAATTAAGCCTTCCAAAGTACATTTTCTATCATTTTCCATATGCTCATCATTTGCCACTGATTATACTACTAATAAAATCTAGCTTTGTATCTAACCTATGAGAACATAGCCACAATTCCATCAGTTCTTAAAGGGGGGTGGGGGTGAAGAGAGACAAAGTATATGAGGGAGTTATGTGTGTAGAGAGAAAAGCACCGATTTCACAGTAATGTCATGCTAGAGCAGGTATAAGGTTAGATCAATCCCCTTTCCTTTCTCCCACAGCTTATGGATTTTCCAACCAATCCCCTTGGCTAGGAGTATATAAAGATGGTTTAGGGAAAATGTGCTGGACTTGGAGTAAGAGCACCAAGGTTCAAAATCCAGGCCAGTGACCCTCTTACCTATTTGGCCCTCAGTTTCTTCGACAGCAAAATGGTAAAAGGAAAGGGCTGATTTACATGATTTCTTAAGTCTCTTCCAGCGATAACCTTTTGATCCTGTGCAGAGCTAAGAAAATGAGACTCATTGTAAGCTCTTGCTCCTATGGAGAATGAGGACATAACTCACAATTTTAACCCAGAATCAACTAACAGGAACCTACAATAGTTTCTTCCTTCTGCACTAAGACTGTTTCACTCTACTCCCTTTAGGAGTTCTGCGATTTTTCTATTTTTTAAAAAGACACTACAAGTAGCCTCGGTGTACTTTTTTAATGCAGATAACAAAAAGGCAGTATCTGAAAGAACAAGGAAACCTGTATTCATAACAGTATACAAACTGGAGTACTATAATTCAATTCGATTCAACAAATATTTATTAAGTACCTACTTATGTGATATGGGCTGGAACAATCTTCACCTTAAAGATAGGAACCGGACCTGTGAATTCATTTGAATAGATTACTTATTACCCAGAGAACAGCTGTCAATGCAAACCAGCACCTTCTCTGCAATTTATAGTCAGTTACTTGTCCTACAGGGCTCTCAGACGAGTGAACTTCTACCAATGCAAACCTGAAAACCCTCTCTGCATCTTATAGTTATGAGTTACCTAGAGTAAAAAGGTGAAGTGACTTGCCCAGGATCACACAGGCAATTTTGCATTAGCCATAGGGTCTGAACTCAGATCTTCGGTCCCAAAGGCCAGCTCTTTGCTCACTGCCTTCCAATCTTCACTCTAAACAGGATAACTGTCTTCTACCTATGACAATTAAGATTTGAAAAGAGGTGTTATTTCTTTGGGGAGGGGGGGAGAAAAAGCTTTGTGACCACCTTTACCCCTATTCTGAGCGATTTCGGAGCCGATAAGATCTGACCAGGAAGATTTCGGGTCACTCTCCTCCATCTCCACTGCCAGCCGAGGAGGGAGGTGAAAAAAGGCAACAGGTGAGGGCAGGAGGAGGCGGAGGGAGGGACCACCTCCCTTCAGTGTCCCGGGCGAAATCGGCAAGCCCAAAGAAGAGCACGGGCTCCTTCCCCAGCCAGTACATGTAGCGCGACCCCGGGTTCAGCAGCACAAGCGCGGTCCTCGCTCCCGGCCCAGACTGGGGCGAAGAAGGGGTCGCTCGGTCATTCGGTCCGAACAGACCGTCGCTCCTCCCGGACCGCCCACCGGGCACCGCAGGCAGCGAAGGCGTCCCTCCCGGGACCAGATGTGCCAGCCCCACACCCACCCCGCGCCCTGGTCCGAAAAAGGGCTCGGTTCTGGGAGTCAGAGATCGTCCTCCAGATCTTCCTCCTCCTCCTCCACCCTCCGACCGGGAACCGCCAAGGAGGGCGAGGGCGCGGTGCCCGGCGAAAGAGGCGCAGCGGGGGCGGCGCGGCCGCTCCTCCTCCTCCCCCTCGGGGCGCTGGCACCTGAGCCCCGCACGCAAGCAGACAGACGGCCGCTGCCGCCGCTGAGGCGACGACGACAACGCGAGCGGGAGCGAAACGTGAGGCGCAGCCCAAAGTTACTTACCCGGGAATCGAGGGCTGCCCCACCGCTGCACGGCGCTCCGACCTCGGTCCGCTCGCCCGCCCCCGCCGGCTGAGCGGGGAAGAGACGTGATCCGGCTCCACTTCAGCGAGAACCGCCGCCACCGTCGCCGCCGCAGCCCCGGGATTCCTGGCAAGAGGCAAACTCTGGCCAAGACTTCACTTACGCCTCAACCGCCCCTGCTTGCTCGCATCCCGGGGCCGAGTGCCCGCGACCGAACCGCCCAACCCGACACCCGTTCTAACCAATCCGACGAGGCCCAGATCGGGTAGGGGGCGGAGCGAGGAGAGGCTCACCCTATGGAAGAGCTGAGGGGGCGGAGCGGGAACCTAGCAGAGCCTCCGGGGTTAGAGTGAGTCAGCCCCGCCCCATTGTTCCCTCCAATCGCCCCTCCCCACCCTTCGGCTCCTTGGCCCGGGCTGTCTCCCTCACTTGCCTGATTTCTCTGCAGAAGACTGGCTGGGAGGGTTCCCCTAGGCTCTCGCCCCGCAGGGGAGTGGAACAGCTGGGGGAAAGGAAGAGTCACATGTGTGAGGGGGAGGAGAACAAGTGGGGAAAGGCATGGGGAAATGTGGAAATGGGAGAAGACAGCTGGAGCAGGGAAAGGAGCAAAGGGGGCAGAAGTGGAAAGAGGGAATGGGAGAAAGAAGCAGCACGTGAGGGAGAACACCTGAGGGAGAGAAAGGGGATGGTGGAGGGAGAAAACGAAACAGTATGGGAAGGGGAAGGAGATACGGGGGGTGTGGGCTCCTGGGATCCGGAAGAGAAGGGATTCCTAACTGAAGACACAAAAGGAAAAGGAAAGAGACACGGACCTTGATAAGATAATAAGAGCCGACGGCTGAGGAAGAGACGAGGGTTTCAGGACAGGGCCAGAGGAGAAAGGGTAGAGACCAGACTTCAATGAGTTTCCTCCCAAGTTTAAATCAGGAAGGTCCATTTGCCCAAGCTGAGCTTCCAGGCAGGGACCGGATACCCCAAGGAGGCCCACGTTGAAACTCCCTTTATTCCCCGATGCACTTGATAAAGCGATCGGGGATTCCCACCCCCACACGTCCGCATGCCCGCGTGGATTTCGGAGAGGAGCATCGGCAGGGCTCCCCTCGAGGAGGGCTGAGGGCGCGGGCAAGGCAGTTGAGGTCGGGCTGGTGGAGGCCTGGGGGAGGGGGCCCTCGCCTATTCCAGGAAAGGTGCTTTGTGAGGAGCCGGGGTCACCTGGAGCCGGGGCTGAGTGTAACCCCCCCAAGGTGCCGTGCTGAAAAGGTCCCGTCTGCGGCCAAGGGGGGTGGTAACGAAGCCTGCCTTTTGATGGGGGGAGGAGATCCCGCCAGGTGAGGGGAGAAGTCCACTCCCAAGTGAGGAGGCAAGGCCTCGCAAGTGAGGGGACTACGTGTAAAAGGCGGGACCCCGCCAGGTGAGAGAGGAGGGCCTGCCAGGAGAAGAGAAGCACACGGCAGGAGGGGGGGGAAGATCCCACCAGGTGAAAAGGGGAAGGCCCCGCCAGGTGAGGGGCGGCCGCTCGCAGGGGCGGGGGCAGGGCTGAGCCGCCGGGAGGCACCGCCCCTCGGCCGGGTCCTCGCCTCGCCGCGCCGCCGCGGCTCCTCCTCCGGCTCCTCCCCCCTTCCTGCTCAGCCCGCCGGGACCGAGATATGGGGCGCGTCCCCGGGGCCGCCCCCGCCACCTGAGGAACCCGGAAGCTGCCCTCGGCCGCGCCATGGAAGAGGACGAGGAACTGGAGAGGTAACGGTCCGGGCGGCGGCGGGGTCTGAGCGGGGGAGCGAGAGGGTGCCCAGGGGCCTGTGGCCCCGGCGTCCTCCTGTGCCCGGCCTGGGCTGAGGACGGGGAGGGGCCGAGCTACCTGCACTGGGTAGGGGACGAGCGGCCTGGGCTGGGGAGGGAGGAAGCTGGGCCGGAGGGGAAGGGACGAGCAGCCTGGGCTGGGGCGGGGCAGGGGGGAGTGACGATGGGGAGAGAGGAAATGAGAGTCGGTGACTCCCCCCTCCAAAAAGGGATGGGGAACAGTGCTGCGTGTGGGAGGGAGGAAGAGAAGGATGGGAAAAGTGGTAGGGCTCACTCTTCGGTCATTATTATTGTTAAGAAACATGGACAGACTCTGAGATTACAGAGTCCAGAATGAGTGTTGAAGAAACAGCAGAAGGGACCTATAGACCCTGGTTCGTATTTATTGCATTGATTAGTTGGGTTTTCAGTTAAATGCCGACAACGTACATGTTACTGTGCTATATCCTGAGGACAGAAATATTTTGAAAGTATGGTCCCTACCAGGCCGAGTTTTTTACACTATGGAAAACAAAGTCTGAAGTTTTGTCAACCCTTAGGAAAATAATTTTGACAGCTTTGACAAGGATGAATTTGGGGGAAAGGGGGAGGGGAAACTAATGTGGGAATCCGTAACTTGGCACACTGAGAACTTGTGTGGTTTTTTTGTTCACTTTTTGGTATAATTATATTTCAATATGATTGTTTTCCTTTGTAATCCTGTGTTTATTTAAGCATTTAAAAACATGAGAAGAGGCCCATAGACTTCACGAGACTGCTAAAGGGGATTCATGTCAAAAATGGTTAAGAACCTCTGGATTAGAGGTACCTGAATTTGGTTGCTGTAATAATGTTGCATGAAGGATTGTGGAGGTAGGAACTAGAATTGTGGCCCTTTGGATGGAGAGAATGTGGATAGTTGGTAAAAGTTTCAGACCACTCCCTCTCGTTCTTTAACTGCACTCCCACTCAACAAGCATTTATTTACCTACTGTGGGCTAAGCACTGGGGATATAAAGAAAGGCTAAAGACAGTTCTTGTTCTCAGAAAGCACACAGTCTAATGGGGTAAATAAAATTCAAGCAACTGTGTACAAATAAGATACAGAATAAATTGGGGATAATCATAGAGGGGATACTATGATTAAGGAGGATAGGGAAGGCTTCTTGCAAAAGGTGAGCCTTGAGTGAAACCAGGCGTCAGAGATAGATATGATCCAGCCATGGCAGGCAGCCAGTGAAAATGCCTGGTTGAGTGGAGGTTGCAATTAAATGGGCAGAGACTTGAGTCAGGAAGACCAGCCAGCAGTCTATTGCAGTCATCTTAGGGGTGAGGTGATAAAGGCCTGCCTTGGGTGGTGGCAGTGTCAGAGGAGTGAAGGGGACATATACAAGAAATATTACAAAGGTAGAAATGACAGGCCTTGATAGCTGTTTGGATATGAAGGAATAAGGAGTCAAGAATGACGCTTTGGGTGCAGCTAGGTGGTGCAGTGGATAGAGCACCGGCCCTCCTGGTCCTGGAGTCAGGAGGAGGGGAGTTCAAATCCCACCTCAGACACATAACACTTATTAGCTGTGTGACTCTGGGCAAGTCACTGAACCCCAGTTGTCTCACCAAAACAAATAAACAAAAGAATAGAACTTAAAAAAAAAGAATAAAAAAAAAAGAATGACACTTTGATTGTGAGCCTGGGTGACTAAAGGAAGGTGGTATCCTAATTGGTAACAGGGAATTTTGGAAGAGGAGAGGGTTTGGGGGAAAGATAATGATTTCCGTTTGGGGCACATTAAGTTTAAGTTGTTTACAGAATGTCCAATTTGAGATGTTTAATAGAGAGTTGGAGAGATGAGAGAAACTAGGGCTGGACAAATAAGGGGAGGGAATAAGTATCTAGCACCTACTATGTGTCAGGCACTGTACAAAATGCTTTTTACACATTATACTATTTAATCTCAGATTACCCTCATGTATTAAATCTCATAATTTAATCTCATATTATTTCAGAGATCATAAATAAATCTGAGAGTGTTCTGGATAGAGGTGATAATTGATCCAGCCCAGGAGAGAGATGGGAAAAGGCTACAGGTTTAGGGAAGAGAGGCTACTGGATGGAAAGGACTTGGCAGTTTTTTGGATGTAGATTGTGAGTGTCAAGAAACAAGATTTGAACCTAGGTCTTCCAGACTTCAAGAGAAGCCAGTGCTTCTCTCCATTTTATCACAGTGCCTCTCACCACCCACCCACCCACACTCATTCACTCTTTCTCTCTTTCTTTCTCACTTTCACTCACTCACAGGAGTTGTGGTTGAGGAAACACTTCAGTACCCTGCCTTACTGCAGCAGTGATGTCAAACTCAAATGGAAACTGGGCCACTTAGCCATGCATAAGAATCCTTGCAGGTGCTGATTGACTTAGAAAACCGCATTAGCATCTGTGTTTCATTGTATTTTTATTTATTTTGTTAAAAATTTTCCAATTACATTTTCATCCAGTTCAGTAGACTACCTGTTAGTTGACTCTGTTCTACAATTTTAGAGTGATAATAAAATGACTTGAGTTAGAAATCTTACGGTAAAAACTGCATATGTAGGGAAATGCCGGTCTCTTGACAAGCCAAAGAAACTATTCTTAATGGTTTTCTGTGTTCTGGATTCTTACTTCAGCTTGGCCCCTGACACTTGGTTTTCTCTTAGTTTTATCCTGTTTGCATACTTACTCTAAGTCAAAAGTACCCCATTTTTACTCTACCTTGAATATTGAGGAAGTCAGTTCTCTACTCTTTGAACTTTCAAGGTTTTTATTCTCTAAATGTGGTAACTTATTAGCCTCCTTCCTGGTTAATGCTTAATTGTCTCTTTCTCTGATTCCTCACCTTATTCTTAGTTCTTTTATTACATGTTTCTGCCCCTAGTTGCCCTTAACTGGTTTCTCTATACTTGTATTGTTCTTTTTGTATAACAAAAGTTAAGCTCCACCCTCCGTCCTGTAATTTGCTTGTCTATGTATAGTTTGCCAAAGCAAAAATGGGTCAGTCTAATTCCATACAACTGAGAATAAGGTCTATTAATACAATCCTGATGAGTGATAAGACTGTTGCATATTAGATGAATGTCAAGCCTTTATCATTGTTCTATCTTCAGTGATAAAAGTAAGGAAGCACATTAAGTTTTACTAGGAAACAAACATTGAAATGAGAGTTTTCTCCCAGAGTTCCCAGCAACCTAATATCTCACTAATTCACACATTAAGTAAGGCAAGTTATGGCGAAGTAAATAGAATGCTGGGCCTGGGGTCTGGAAGACTTGCGTTCAAATCCATCCTCAAACACTTAACTAGTTTTGTGATCCTGGGAAAATTACTTAACCTCTGTTTGCCTCAGTTTCTTCAATTGTAAAATGAGGATATTAGTAGCACCTACCTCAAAGGGTTGTTGTGAAGATCAAATGAGATATTTGTAAAAAAGCTCTTAGTAGAGTACCAGGCATGTAATTGCCTTAATATAATTATTATGCAAATTCCACCCCCCCAACACCTTTGAAGTATGCATTGTGTTATTAGTTTGCCATTTAGGAGAAGCTTTGACTATGTTAGAAGGCAGTTTTAGGTAAGCTTTGTAAATCTGATTATCAGTCAGACACTAAGTGCCTACTGTTTCCTGGGAATAGGGCTGGGATTTGGGAATATAAAGACATAATGAGACAGACCATGCCCTCAATGAGCTTACAGCCTCCTGAAAGGAGTAGCTACTTATCCCTGTAGACCAGAAGTTACTTAGACAGTTTGAAGATAATGTTCAGTTTTACTCATAATTTCAAGTGTAAATTAAAACAACTATGAACTCTTGAAACATTCTCATCCATTTTCCCAAAATAAAATTATTAAAGTTCATGTGAGTCAAGGGAAAGGCCATCCTGGGAAGCTAGTTCAGGTACACATTGCTGCTGACAGTGCAAATCGAATCATTATTTTTGGAAGCAATCTGGCTATAGGGAAACAAGCCAGAACATGTTGGTCATGCTCTTAAACTCAGTGCTTCCACTATTAGGCATATCTCACAAAAAAAATTTAAAAGGAGAAAATAACTATACACAGTTATGGGAGATCTATATCTATAGCTATCTCCAAAAACTATGCAGTGTGGAGAGAATGGATAACCAGATGAGATATCAACAGAATAGATATTACTAGCCAGTTCAACATAAAGACAGGAAAATGTTCAGAGAAATAGAAAGAATGATCCATTAACAAAATGAGAAAAAACAACTATATAATTTTACAAATACAAATTTTACAAATTTACAAATGTATATCATAAAGAATGGTATGTGTTACCGTTGATGCCTCTCTATATAACTTCACAGGAGAAAGCTAATTAAACACAATATAACATTACAAAAAATGTTTAGGCTGCCTAGTTTGTAGGAGTTGGGAGGCAGAAGGAAGCTGAAATTTGATCTTGGGTTTTTTGCTAAGCTAGCAGATTTTAAAGGTTTTAAAAAAAATTCAAGGTAAGATCCCGTGAACTAAAATTCTATAGAAGTCAGCTTAAGAAGGATGGAAAACTCAAAAAAATGTGGAGAAACAAAAAGAGCCATTTCTTGTGAGATAGGAAAAGAACCTAAAGATGTGGACACACACCAATTCATCAACCAATGATGTGCAAAATGGAAGCGAGGGAAGGCAGTGGAGGATAACTGTAAAAGCGTAGGTATATCCTGTACAAATCTTGTCTGGAGTACTAAATCACAGAAGGCGCTAAGGTTAGGAAAGAAAGCTAAGGGCAACAAAACCTTTTTTAGCTATGTTGAGGAAAGAACAGCCTCAAAGAAGGGCTGGTGGGTGGAATGATACTGTTGCTATTGTTCAGTAGTTTCCAACTTTTCATGACCCTATTTAAGGTTTTCTTGGCAAAGATACTGAAGTGGTTTGCTGTTTCCTTCTCCAGCTCATTTTACAGATGAGGAAACTGAGACAAACAGTGAAGTGACTTGCCCAGGGTCACACAGCTAGTACATGTCTGAGGGCACATTTGAATTCAGTTCTTCCAGACCCCAGGCCTGGCACTCTATCCACTGCACCACCTAGCTGCAGGATGGAATGATGACTACAGGCAGAAGAAAGAAAGTACCGTTGTTCAACTTTTGCTTCTGTTTCCTTTGCCCAGGAGAGTGATCTTTGAACTAGGAAGAACAAGTCAAAGTGACCAACGAGGAGTTGATACCAACATATGTAGGGAGGTAATGTAAGAAGACAAGGACAAGTTAGCAGGCCCAGATGAACTACATACGTCTTCAAGTACTAAAGAAATGGTAGATATAGCTGCTGGACCACTGTCAGCAGTCTCAGAAAAATCATGGAGAAGTAGAGAGGTACCCCCACCTTATGTGAGGAGGACAAATGACCAGTATGTATATTTAGATGAAACATGGTCTAATCTACATCTTTGCTGACTGACCAATTAGGATAATGTAGCCCAAGGGCAGTTGGTCCAAAGCTGAGTTGATTCATTCACCCAAGATGTGGTCCCAGAGTAGATGGTTGAAGAATTTAGAACTAGTAGAACTACTGGACCCAAAGAGTAGTTTTTCATGATTCACTTTCAGTTAGGTAGGAAGACTCCATTGCAGTGGCCCTAGGACTCTGTACTTGGCCCTGTGCTATTTATCGTTGCACAGATGGCATATTAGACTTGTAGGTGACAGGGCTAGAAGGGAGAGCTAATTCACTGAATGACAAAATGAGTATTGAAAGAGACCTGGATCATCTGGAACACTGGACTTACTCTAATAAGATAAAATGTGACCGGGATAAATGTAAAGTCTTTCACTCAGATTCACACAATCAGTTCACAGGTAATAAGACTGGGGAACATACAGAAATTTTCTGAAAAAAAATGGGGATAGAATATTGTCCATTAAACTCACCAATCTGTGCTTACATGGATTGACAATGATGTCTAGGACTAGGGAAGTCATAATCCTGTCGTGCTGTGGCTTCATCATAGGATCATAAATTTAGCTTTGGAAGAACCCTCAGAGTTTGACTAATCTAACCCATTCGTTTTACATGTGAAAAAATAGGTTAAGTGACTTGCTGAAAGTCACACAGGAGGTGTGTGGCAGAGGTGAGATTTTTATTCCAGGATCTTGAACTCCAAATCCAGCATTCTTTCCACTGTGCCAGCTTATCTTCCTAATAGACTGCAAGCTTCTAATAGACCACTGTGGCCAAAGTAAGCTTTCTCATGCCCAGGTCTGATCATATTATTCTCCATCTCAAAACTTTCATTGGCCCCTCAGTTTTCTAAGAACTATAAGTAAAAAGGAGATAATAGCACCAACCTCATAGGATTGCTGTGAGGGTCAAATGATTATCTGTAAAGCACTCAACACAGGGCCTGGCACATAGTAGGTGCTAAATAAATGCTTATTCCCTTCCCTTTTCCCTTTCCTAATGCCAGGATAATATACAGATTGCTTGGCATAGTATTCAAAGCTCTCTGGAATCTGGCTCTAATATATCTTTCTAACCTTATCTCAGTCCTTTGAGTTCAGGCATTATTTCCCAGAAAGTCCCTGTTACAATGAAAGTGGTTTCTAGAAAGGATAATGTCCTGGTTAATACTCCTTATCATCAGAGCGTCTTCCCAGGAAAGCGCTATTTTCTTTCCCATGCTCCATTCTGATGTGAAGGTAATCCTTGGCTTTCTAAGCCTATTCAAGCACAAGACAAACTCTCATGGATTCTGCCAAATTGGAAAGTCTTTGAGTATGACCCTGCTAACAATTACTGTCATTTCAGAACCAGTTTACTAACATTTAGAGAGGTTTGTTACTAGCCTGACTGTAGGCTGAGAATTTTTTCAGCAGCAACTCTTGAAGATTTTCTATCTATAAAAGCATGATGGAGAGGGGAACAGGTTTCTAATCTGCATTATTGAAGGGAACACTCCTGCCAGTGAAGTTACAAATCATTAAGCTTTTATTAAGCATCTACTATATTCTAGATATATTTTTTTCCTACATCTATGTTCACCTTCCCCTCAAAACTTATCTGCAGACCCATGTTAAAAAAAAACCCTTTTCCTAAAAAATGATCTAAATCACTATTGATTAGAGAAATGCAAATTAAAATGACTCTGAGGTACCACATCACACTTATCAGATTGGCTAACATGACAAAACGGGACAATGATAAATGTTGGAGAAGATATGGGAAAATTGGAACAGATGCATTGTTGATGGAGTTGTGAACTGATTGAACCATTCTGGAGAGCAATTTGGAACAGTGCCCAAAGGGCTATAAAACTGTGCATACCCTTTGACCCAGCAATAGCACTTCTAGGGCTGTATCCCAAAGAGATCATAAAAATAGGAAAAGGACCCACACATACAAAAATATTTATAGCAACTCTTTTTGTGGTGGCCAAGAATTGGAAATTGGGAGGATATCCATCAATTGGGGAATAGCTGAACAAGTTGTGGTATATGAATGTAATTGAATACTATTGTTCCATAAGATGAGCAGATGGATTTCAGAAAAACCTGGACTTTCATGAACTAATTGATGCTGAATGAAGTGAGCAGAATCAGGAGAACATTGTACACAGTAACAGCAACATTGTGCGATGGCCAGCTTTGCTAGACTTTATTCTTCTCAGCAATGTAAAGATCTAAGACAATTCCAAAAGACTCATGATGGAAAATACTATCCATATCCAAAGAAAAACTTATGGAGTCTGAATGCAGATTGAAGCGTACTATTTTCTCTCTCTCTTTTTTTTTCTTTCTCATAATTTTTCCCCATGGTTCTAATTCTTCTTTACAACATGAATAATGTGGAAATATGTTGAATGATTGTACATGTATAGCCTATATCAGATTGCATGCCATCTTGGAGAGGAGGGGGGAAGAAAATTTAGAACTCAGAATCTTATAGGAGTAAATGCTGAAAATTAAAAACAAATAAATTAATTTTTTAAAAAACGGGGGGAGGACAGCTAGGTGGTACAGTGGCTAGAGCACTGGCTCTGGAGTCAAGAGGAGCTGAGTTCAAATGCGGCCTCAGACACATAACATTCAGTGGCTGTGTGACCCTGGGCAAGTCACTTAACCCCACTGCCTAGCCAGAAAAAAACAAACAAACCTCTCCTAGACCATGGAGGCATAAAGACAAAAATGAAACCTTCCATGCCCCAAGGATCTTATATTCTCTCCATGGAAATATTTGATGTTTGAAGTAACATAACCTAGTTTAGATTACTTAGAAAATAATGGGGCCCTGTGGGATATTAAACATGGTCATGTTTATAGGGAAGTAGGATCAGGACAGGTTAGGAGCCTGAATGTTAACTGGAGTGGTGAGACTCTTGTAGTGAAGTGGCCAAAGCCCTGGAAAGTCATGAGTTATCACAAAGGCGTTGGGCACTGTGGGGTTGGGAATTGGCAGGTAGACAAGCCCTAGAACGGAAGATGAAAGAAGGCCGCTTGTTTTGCTTTGTTTTGTTTTTCACTGCTTAACAATTTCGTATTGGTTCTGTGGACATAATAAGCAGGCTTCTTTTGGTTTGAAAGTCACGCAAGGAGATGAGTCAGTTTTACGGGGAATATCAGTATGACGGGTAGAGACAGGCAGTGTAAGTGAACTATCCTGATTAATTGGGAGGAGAAGTGAAATAATGACAGTTGGGGTGGTGGTGCCTAGGAACAAGGATTAATTATTGAAAATTATACTACTTCTGTAGGAAGAGCTGAAAAAGAGTGTCCACTAAGAAAGAATGAGAGTTTTTCAGCAAACAAAAATGAATGGGATCTAGGGTTCAAATAGAAATTTAAAAACAGAAATGAGGGGCAGGTTCTGACTTGGAAGTCGTACCTTTGCTGCCTTGGGCTCCAGGGGGGTGTGTGTGTGTGTGTGTGTGTCTTTTTGAGGGGGAATGGTAGAATCCCAGTCTGTAGTTGTGGAGGTATTGACTTCGGGGGCCCTGGGAACCTGGCATACCTCTGGCCACTGATGCTCTGCTTGTGGTACGAGGGGACTGATAACTTTGAGCTACCTACCTGCTCTTCTGTTAAAATGAAGCTGCTCATCTAGCTCTCTCACTTGATGATGATGCAATATATGTCTCAAGTGACCTCTCACTGTCAACATCAGAGGTGTCAGTTACAGGGCCCACAACACTCCTAGGTATGGCCAGAACCAGATTAAAATTTACTTCCTATCAGATTTTAATGTGTTAATGTATTAATAAAATGTATTAATTAATGTATTAATAAAAAGAAAAAATATACTAATTTGTGGTTTTCAAAGTCATTATATGGCCTTCAGGGATCTTTATGTACGGTTTAGTGGCTCCCATTTCTATTTGGTCACTCTGCATGTCATCTCGATTCACTTCATGGTCCAGTTCACAGGACAGCAATACAGTGATGTGCTGATCTCCATTGGGAAGACTTTCAAGAAGGTCTGCTGGGGTTCTTTGTGAACTTGATACCTCACTTCCTAGGAGATATGGTCTTCTGGTGACACTGTAACCTCCTGGCTCACTTAATTAGTGCCTACCTGGAGATGGTAGTTTCAGCCACACATTGGCAATCTAGAGCCACACTAAGTTTGTGATGGGGAGTGCAATGAACATACTTAGCTACCCTTTCTTCTTGGTTGGTGGCTTCATGGCTGTGAACACTTAAGGGTTGCTGGCAGGCCTCCTTCTCTGTTCCCCTGTGTTGCAAGTCCTGGGTTAATTTTTGGAGATACCTGAACATACAGAGTCAGCTTTTCTAAAGACCAAGTCTTCTCTTCCGTTGGATCTTAACAACATCAATCTCTTCCACAGATTAAATAAGAATAACTTGAATATAATAATAAACATACCATCTGGGCCCTGCCTGGCCATCAGTGTGTGAGGACCTGATAATAGGGGCACCTTGCAAGATGACTGTATAATTCAATGGCATTTGAATGTGTGCTACCCTGGCAGTTAATAATTGACCCACAGTTGTCTAGGCAAGTGATGGCAGGGAAGGGGAATGGGGTTTTGAAATAATCTGAAAAGGTCCTTACTTTTATACTGATTTTAAACTTTAGAAGTGCCAAGATTGCTTTGTGAAGTGAGAGAAGAGGAGAGGGAGCATTTTCTGGGAGAGAGCAAAGAGGCTTTGTAAATGAGCTCGAAGTGTTATGAGTGAAGGCACGGAGCCTAACTTCCATCAATCACACCATACCCAGGGTGGCAGTAGATTCACCCTCTTGTCCAAAATCCAGGCAGGAAACAGATGAGTAAATATCTGCTCTGCTTGGGTTTTATAAACATATAAAGCACCAGAACTTGGTTAGAGGGGTTAGGGTGGGGAAGATAGAGAAAAATTTATTCTTTTGGGTAAATCTTACAAAGAAGCATTGATTGAGAAATTATTTTTTGAACAACATGTGACATGTACATGTATTCCTTCCCAATTAGGGTTCTAAAGACAATTGTTTTATAGTTTGCTCAGCAACTTCATCAAGATATCCTAATACCCAAACATCCTTAGCAAACTTTGAAAAATGGCAAATATTGCATTCAGAAATAGTTACAGTAGAAGGGATAAATACAGTATTTATACACATTTACCTTCTGACAAAACATAATTTGGTCAGAACCATAACTCCTAATTTATTTACCAGTGTTTAGTTTTATGTTAACAGAAAACAAAAGCCAATAAACAAGACAGTTTTCATTGTTTTAAAAAATACATGGTAAGATGCTAAAGAATAATTTATGAGGAACAACCTTGAGAGAGAGAACTGAATAAAAAGGATAAAATGTGGATGACAAAAAAAAGAATAATAAGAGAAGAGGAATCAGAGACAGTTGGCTTAAGGAAGGACAAGAGAACAGAAAAAGGCATAGCAATAGGAATTTATGTATGTATTAGAGAGAAGTCTTTTGAAAAAGTCTTTTATCATTAGCCTAACCCCTTCCCCACGAATGGTATGTTATTCTCTAGATCAGCCAATATTGATGAAAATATATGAAATTGTTTTTAGCCCTTAAGTACTATGCCTATTAAAAGACATTTATTAAATTATGCATGATTATATAACAAAGGCTTTTCTACTTTTTTTCATTCTTTTATT